GATGACTAGATTAATGGACAAGGTGATACCGGCTGAACTCAGGAACGAAGTTTTTGTATATCTTGATGATTTGCTCATTGTCTCAGATAGTTTTGAGAGTCATTTAAGCGTTTTGAGTTCCGTTGCTAGCCACATAAAGGCTGCTGGGTTAACGTTGAACGTGGAGAAAAGCAAATTTTGTGTAAAAAGCGTCAGGTATTTGGGCCACATTGTAGGAGAAGGGGTAGTGCGGACGGACCCAGATAAAATATCGGCAATGACGGATTTTCCATTGCCTAGGACGCTAAAATCATTGAGAAGATTTCTTGGAATGGTCGGGTGGTACCGAAAATTCATCAGCAATTTTGCAGCCGTGTCAGCACCCTTGACGGATCTTTTGAAGCCCAGGCAGAAATTTATAATGACTCCTGAAGGTGAGGAAGCATTTAAGAAATTAAAGGAAATGCTGTGTTCGGCCCCAGTTCTGCGTAGCCCAGATTTTAGCCAGCCATTTTATATTCATTGCGATGCCAGTAATTCCGGAGTAGGAGGGGTTTTAGTGCAGAAATCGGAGAGTGGCGAAGAATGTCCGATAGCATTTGTCTCGAAAAAATTGAACAAAGCGCAGAAGTCTTACACGGTCAGCGAAAAAGAGTGTTTGGCTGCAATAATATGCATAAAACGGTTTCGGGCATATGTTGAGGGTCATGATTTCACAGTCATCACGGACCACGCGTCTCTCAAGTGGCTAATGTCGCAGACAGATCTGCATTCTAGGCTTGCTCGGTGGGCATTGAAACTCCAGGGTTTCAATTTTAAAATTGAGCATAGAAGCGGTAAGCTCAATGTAGTTCCTGACGCCTTGTCCCGGGTCAATGAAGAAGAGATAGCAGCCGTAGATGCCAGTCATGGATTATTGGTTGATCTCGAATCCAAGCACTTTAGCGATCCCGACTATGTCGATCTAGCCGAGAAAATTATAGCCAACGGAAACAGTCTGCCCGATTTAAAAGTAGCGGATGGATTTATATATAGAAAAACGGAACACTTGTCTGGGGATGCGATTCACGATAATTTTTGTTGGAAGCTGTGGATTCCTATGGGACTGGTGCCCGACGTGCTCAAAAATGCACATGATGATCCTTTAGCTTCACATGGGGGTGTTCATAAAACATTGGAGAGGATAAGAAGGTATTACTATTGGCCACGACTGGTGAAGGACGTGAAGGAGTATATTCAGGCGTGCGAGATATGTAAAATGACTAAGGCTCCAAATTGTATATTAAGACCACCAATGGGAAAAGCTCCAGAGTCTGCAAGGCCTTTTCAGAAATTATACGTCGACTTTTTGGGTCCGTATCCCCGATCAAGGAGCGGAAACATAGGAATATTTATTGTGCTAGATCACTACAGCAAGTTTGTGTTTCTGAAGGCAGTGAAAAAACTAACAGCTGACGTAGTAGTTAAATATATGCAGCAAGACCTATTCCATACTTTTGGTGTCCCCGAGACTGTAATTTCAGATAATGGGTCACAATTTAAGTCGGAGGCCTTCCAGAAACTCTTAAGAGAGTACCAGATATCTCATACTCGCACTGCTGTTTACTCGCCCCAAGCTAATGCGTCAGAGCGGGTAAATCGATCAGTGATTGCTGCCATACGATCGTATGTGCGTAGCGACCAAAAGGATTGGGATGAGCAGCTAAGCAGCATTTGCTGTGCTCTCAGGTCAGCAGTTCACTCAAGTTTAGGGACTTCACCTTACTATATGATTTTTGGACAACATTTCATTTCAACTGGTGCCACGTATAAGTTGCTAAGAGCTCTCAATTTGCTCGAAGATAGATCGTTGGCATTCTCAAAGGAAGATTCACTAGAACTTGTCCGCAGTAAAGCGTTAGAGGTGATGAAAAAACAGTTTGAAAAGAATGAGAATAGGTATAATTTGCGGTCAAGAGAAGTATCTTTTAGGGAAGGTCAAGAGGTCTATCGAAGAAACTTCAAACAGAGCAATTTCGCAGCTGGTTATAATGCGAAATTGGGTCCAGCTTTCGTGAAAGCAAGAGTAAAGAAAAGGATTGGGCAAGCTTATTATGATCTCGAGGACCTACAGGGGCATGATGTGGGCAGGTTCCATGCAAAGGATATTAAACAGTAGCCTCGCAAGCTGTGGTGTTCTCAGCCTTGGAGTATTTGCCCCAAGTCTGATCTTGATGGGGGGGTATTTTTGTAGCGCTTGCTCGGAAAAAGATACTTTTCTAGCGCCATCTGTTGGATGTTGGAGAGAAGGTATTGCGTTGCCACTAGAGTTGATAAGAGACTAGTAGATATCGGTAGGATAGCCGCGAGAGAGCAACAGTGGCAAGTGTCAACTGTCTCCGCTTTCACCCTGAATTCGATCTGGGGTTACCGCCACTTTTCCGGCGGCGTGTTCTTTCTTTTCCGTTTGGCAGCAGCAGAGTGAAGTCTAGAGTTCGCAGTGACTAAATTAAAATTCGAAAGTACACGCGAGTGATCTCACTTTAGTGCCGAAGGGAAGGAGTTAAACAATTTGGCTTTGAGCCGCATAAAAAGGGTGAGATGAAAAACAAGCGAGTTTATAGGCAGGTGATTATTTTTGGGGTTTTATAGGCCACCGTTGGATGGATGTTCGAAGGCCGCAAAGTAAAATAAAGGCGAGTTCGATCGAGACGAACGGGCGCCCGCGCAGTTCACATAACGAGCGAGCAACCTCCACGCCAGATATTCAACTCGGAACAACAGCGCACAAGGAAGGGCGAAACGAAGTGTCTATTCATATTTCCATCTTTAATCATCCCCATTATCCGGTGTGTCAGCCCCAAATTTCATAAGCCAGAAAAGTGAGCTAGGCGCCGTCTGACCATCGAGCCGTTTAATCGAGGCGAACTAAACACAGGTTCGATCGAACCGATTTATCAGTTTCTCTTTGCTCGGAGTGCGCATGCGACGTCGCGGCTACGGTCTGTGCTTTTAAAAGTAATTCTCGGGGAGTTAGAAAGACCATACTTAGGCCAAGAAAATCCTCGCCGTTTCGGCCAAATCCCGGTCGGAAGGGTTATCGGAGTACTCGCCACGGATAAGCGGGAAGTTTAGGTTTAAAATTCGGTTTAAGTTATGTAATAAGTGTTCGTTCGTCAAAAGTAGAGAAAAAAATTTGATTTTATTTTGTTCGGTGAAAGTGTGGTTTGGGGATAAATTCCTATTCATATCCCGGAGAAGGTAGTGCTGATGCCATCAGAAGGTCTTCACGGGCTGTACATTCCGCTTTTTATTTAATTCCTGATTTAAAAAATATATATGTCTCTGTGAGTGTGTTTCCCTTATTCAACCTTATTTAGCCATCGTCAACGAGGAAAGCGCTTTCGTCGGTGGATGGACATAAGTGTGGTGAGTTTTTAAAAAGAAAATCTATACAAAATCTTATAAGAAAAGTCAAAAGAAATAACTTAAAGTCTATAATGCTAACCTAAAAGAAAAAAACGAATATGGAGAAATAAAGAAACAAAAAAAATTGCTACACTCAGAAAAAAAAAGTAAAGTAAATTAGATTGAATTCAGATTGAACTAAAAGCTGATTATGAATATCGTGATGCATCCTTCAGTTTAAATGGTGAAAATAAAGTTAAAGTCAAAATTGGATTAGAAACAAATTAAATAAAATATGAAGATTTTTCTCTCGATCCCCATGCCTCAGTTAACCATGTTAGCATCAACCAACAAGTTTTTTTAATTGCCTTACATACCCATCATTTGCCATATTTTAACATATATATATATATTTATTGTTTATATTTATTTATTTATTTTATGCATGTCTTTTTACGGTTTAATTTAAGAAATGGTTTATATATCTAGTTATTAATAAAATTTTATAATGTTTTGCTAAGGTGAAAAGTGGCCGCAGCTAGCGTTGTCTCATAATGTAGAGTAGCACTTGTTAAAGGGGTCGCTCAGGCTGTTAAGCGCTGAGGATATGAGCGACCATTGGTAGGGTGGGCAAGACCAGGACCTCCACAACATCCAGGGAGGCGAAAAGGAGAAGTCAGCCAAAATGGGAAAGTAGGGAATATGAAGTGATGATTTAATGTGTGTGTTTCTCTAACCCGGTTTCAGTTTGGTGATGCACGCGAGTATCTAGTTATTATTAGGGAAGGCATTCCGAGGTAACAGCAAGACCATCACACCCATAGCCGAAGAGCCAGAGCCGGATATATTTTTTCGCGTGCGCTGGTATCTCGAGACAACATCCAGCCTGATTTGTATTAATAAGTGTAGCGGTTCGTTACAACATGGACATGGACATGGACATGGGCCACCTCGTCGTCCGGGGAGCGGAGTTAAAAGCCATGTGGCCATGTGGCCATGTTGCCAAGTTGCTGTGTGGTGCGTTTGGTTTGCTGCGTCCAAGTTTTAATTAAACGGGTTTATGTTTTCGCCGCAACACACAAAAAGTTAGCACGAGAGGCGTGTTCACTCGCAAGGGAAATCTAAAGACACCAGGGATTAATAATGTGCCTTTGCTCTGCCTTTTATTGGTTTCGACTAATATTGGACCAGTAAATTGTAGTTATTTCGATAGGTACTACTTTTGTAATCAAAATATGTGAACGGCATTCGATTATACAATACCAATCAATCAAAGTTAAAACTGAAACTAGTTGGAAAATGATTATAAAACTTAAAATAAACTATTTTTATTTTGATTATCCCCCAAAAACCTTTTACCAATAAGAAGATTTCATTTTGAACACAATTAAATCTGGTATAAAAACTATCGTTCAACAACTATTTCGCATTTGTAAAAGGTAATCTTCAAGTCTGTTAAAAAATGTTATTCAGGAATATAGATTTACCCAAAATTCTCATATATTTCAAATAAACTTTATATACATATTTGTATATATTTATATACATATTTTAATCTGCTACTCTGCATCCACTTTGCATTATGATTGTTTGTATCTTTAAATATGGAAGGACACATTTGAAAGGACACTCACCAACATTGCCCTCCGCTTGCACAAGATCTCCATGCGTGGCGAGCAGCAGGATCAGCAGGAGGACTCCGAATTGCAGTAGCTTGGCAGGACGACTCAGGGCGTCCAGGCTGCAGCAGAGTAGTCCGCCGCCCCCCGCCCCGCAGCCGCGCACCTCGCGCCGTCGAGCGCCCTCGCTGATCAGAAGGCGACCGCGGGCGGGCAGCGTGGGCGGCAACCTCAACCGCTGGTGATGCAGTAGCTCGTGCTGGCGCGGATGTCTCTGGTGCTGCTGCCGCACCTGCTCCTGCTGCTCCCGGTCCCGATCCCCCTGATCCCGATCCCGATCCCGATCCCGCTTCTCCTGCTGCTGGTGACTGAATGGAGGTCGCTGACTAGACCAGGACTGCTGGCATGCTCCCGCCGCTGACTCCTGGCCCTTGGCTGCTCGTCGTGCTCGCTGGTGCTTGGGCTCTTCAGTTGTGGTGCATGGATCTTGCTGCCGTTGTTGTACATTGCTTGCCATGATAATCGGCACACCTGGTAAGAGAAAATAGCTAATTAGCACACGAAAATAAAAGGAATTGTATCCCAAACCGAAGGTGGTATTAAATTAAATGCTTAGAAAGAAAAAGCCACTTCATACTGATTCGAAAAGCAATGGTTAAATAAATAAATATGTTGCTTAAGCCATCATGATATGCTTATAATGTTATATCAATATTACACCCGGTAAAAAAAAACAGAATTTTCATCCCATAAATACCCAGTTTGTACACTTTTTCCAGTCTTTTCAATATAACTTTCATATTTTTTTAACCTTTAACACATTTAATTGATATTTTTTCTGCCAGTTACGCTTCTTCACAGAATTGATAAATGAAAAAGCGGATAATGCTTCTTAACACTTCCTTTATGTATATTTTATTGCCATTTAGCATGAAAAAACTTATAAATTATAAATACAAAGTTTTCACATGTATTGGTTTTTAATTAGCTCCGCGAACAATACCCATTATTACCTTGAAAAAATAGTTTCAAGTTTTTTTGTAGTTACTCCGCATACAAGTTATATTAATATGTTAATTGCAAGGCTCTTGTTAAACTATATTTAAACTACACAGCGTGTTTTCCATTATATGAACATTGTTTTTAATAAGTTCCCAATTTTAATTAGCCAAACAGTGCACGAAGCGCGCATTTCCAGTAAATCCTTGCAAGCAATTTATGCAGGAATTTGAACTAATAACCCGGAGCAGCTACTCAAAATGGGTGGAGCAGCCAAGTCAGCCAAAGTATCTGGGTGGCTCCTTATTGTTGCCACCGGAAATTAGCAATGTATATTCGAGGGGCGCTGCCTCTTGAGGGAAATTGCATTTTATTGTGCTAGGGACAACTTTTCGCTTTTCCGGCATTTCCATATTTCATATTTTCACACAATGCGCACAAAGGAAAATTCGGGCGGCAGCAGGTGGGAAATGGGGCAGTTGTGGGTGGTTGACTTGGAGTGGAATCTCTGTTGTTCGAGCACATTTGTCGCGCTGCATTTTCCGGTCTTTTTAGTTGCTCCTCTTTTGTGCGGGTTCACTTTTTGCCTCCGGTGACTCCTGCTGCCGAATGCTTAGCGAGTATTTCTTGCTCTTTATATGGTAATAAATGTCAGACTTTGGTTAGCCAGCTGGGGAAATTGATTTTCTTTGCCGCAGTACGGGGGTTTTGGTTCCTCCGTCTGGGTCATTTGGCGATAACCGCGTTAGCCTCGCTCAAGGTTGACATATTTCGGATGGGGGTGACGGCAAAGTTCATTTCATCCTGGAACCGCCTACGAAATGGGATTCCAGCTCATCACCAGCACCGCAAATGTGTGGCAGATTAAGCCCACAAGAAGAAAGAAACGTCAAATTATCGGGGCAAAACAAGATACCAAATGAAATGGCCTGTCAACTAACAGCAAATTGGAAGGCACATGTGTGCTCCATGAAAACTACAAGCCTTATTTATAAAGCAAGTCTCTTTTAAATTACTAGAAACATCAATCATTATCGACTCAATTTATTATAAAATCAAGTTTCTTTTTGATTACTTCCTGCAGAACAAGCTGACTCATTATTTAAAAACCATATGAAGTGCAAACAACTAATCAATAAAGTAAAGAAACAAAGATTCCTTCTTATTACCAACTAGTTTCTCGAGCCATGTCTGCTGACTCACTTATAATAATAAAATTAAGCCAACAAGCATCCATCAGTTTAGGAATTCATTAGCAGGAATATGGGGATTTTATACAAGCACAATATAAACGTCTTGGCCAACATCTCAATTACGGAAACATCTTTAGTTGTTACATGTCTGGGACATGGTAATATGATTTCAATCATTTCACGAAACTTGCATGATTAATGAATAACAGATTTCTGTCCTCCAGCTTCTAATGGACTTTATTGGCCAGAGAGAGATGTCTTGGGAATGATGTCTCCTTGGCCTCGAGGTCGGGTTCATTTTTCATGCACAGGCCGTGGCAAAAACTAAACTACAAAGCCAAGACTAAGCCCCCGATAACTTTGGATGGCCCAGATGACACCGCAGCATATGGGCTGGGATAATTAATCATGGGACGAACGTGCCAGGGCAGCCAAAAAGTTTGCACCCCATCTCTGGGATCCCAAACCGAAAACCCAACTGAACCAATCCACATTGAATCGAATCGGGGAGAAAGTTAAAGGCCGAGCTCTTTACGAACCCAATGCAGACTGGCAAAAGGGAATATCTGATTAGTTGGCCTTTTGAATTCAATTAAGGTGACAAAACAGACCTTGTGGTGGCAGCCAGATGCACCATCCTTGGCCTCCTGCCCTCCACATACTGCTGCTCCTCGTCCTCCTGCTGAATAATTTATGCAACTCAATTAGGCGTTGACCTGGCGATAAAGTTTAATAATTGCAGGCGGTGGCGCGCCCTTCTTTTGCTCGCACTTTAATTAAAAGAACCGAGCAATTAAAAACGCATCATCAGGCAGAACACAACGAAGGGCAGAAATGAAAAAAACCTGTGGTGGTCCGACAAATTTAAACCGACTAGCAAATACCTGGTATTGAATTTAAATCCCATAATAAAATCTTTTGTGTCATAATTCATAAATGGATGATAATTTCAGACATTGTTATGTCATTTTGTTTTGGTACTTTCATAAAAAGTATACAAATATTTATACCAGGTTTTTAAAGAAATTCCTCCCCAAAATCCAGTCAAATTATGGGCTGATTTTTAAAATGTACAAAAACCAATGCAAAATGGGGCAAAAACAGGCTCATATTGGCAATATACTCTTTAAACTCGGCGAAAAAAAAATGGAATCGCAATGTAAATGTAATTTCCGGAGTGAGCAGGGTGTGCTAATGGGGCGTGGCACTTTTTTAATATAGTTAACAGCAAACCGTTGTGCTTTACATACAAACAGGGGCACAGGACCTGTATGTCCTGGGGAAATCCGGAGCCGAAAAGGCGCAGAGGGAACCACTGGAACCGCGTTTTCTCCACGCGAACCGTGTTTTTGCGGCTCCTCCAGTTCAACCGCCGACAAACCGCGACCACGACTGCAATTAAAATGGAGCAGAGCAGCGGCTCCAGATGCGCCTTTGTGCTCGCCGCTTCCTGCTCCTCCGCCATTCCCATCGCACTTCCGGTCCTCCACTTTTCCCGCGGCGACACGCGACTTGTTTGCACATTCAAATATTCCCCGGCCAAAAGCCACTGCACTTTCCCTTTCCTCGGCACTTTTCAATTGGCTTTGTCAGCCGAAATATTCCTGCGACTGGCACGTCTCATCTATGGATTTACAATCATCAATTTGAATTGAATTTGTTTGACGCTGCCGCAAAACTTTTATAGCCCCCCCGAAAAGTGCAAATTTCGCAAGCAGATGCCATTTTCGATTTGAGAAATAGCAGTCACTTTCCATTTGAAAAATAACGGCTATTTGTCAGCTCAGAGCTGCTAAGTTTTGTAATACGTTTCCGTTTTGCTCCAAAATATATCGATATCGATAGATTTGGGAAACTCAAAGGTCTGCTTGCACTTTCACGTTTGCTTTTCCAGCAGTTGTGTTTGACTGCCTCGAAAGCAATTCGTTTCAGCCTTTGACTTTCAGTAGCCACTCATTGCATTATGAACTTTGTGAAAGCAGCAATTTATGTTGTTTATTACGCTTCGTAAGCAGCAGCTGCATGGAAAAAATTAAATTGTTTGCAAAGAGTTCTTGAGCGCGGACAACAAAAATACTGTTGAAGGATGAAAAAAATACTCAAGGGGATTCCCAAGTGAAAGCAATATATTTTAAGTAAGTAAAAAGTGTTTAAAATTCTTTATCTAATTCTTGGATGGAAGAAGGTTTAAATGTTTGACATAATCTGTAATCTAAGGAAACGTTTTTTAAAACAGAGAAGAAGGTTTTATATATTAGTGAGATTACAGTAAGATTTTGGGAAGGCTTTGAATAAAACAAGGGAAGTCTCATTGCAAGAAACTTAATTTTTAAAGTCAGCTTGTCCATTACTTTATTTAAAAGCTGTACATCCGTTAGACTCCAGCACTCCGAAAATATATCAAAGACTCCGAAAATATATTTGATACTATCGATAGTAGCATCGGAATTTGACAGCTCTAGTGAAGTGCCCCAATCTGTCAAACGAAATACGAGCGTTACGCAACACTGTCAAAGTTTCTCGAACCTTCTGTCTTTTGTACTCAACCGCATCACGTGCGTCAGAATTGCCTGGAAATCATTCACAAAACTTGTGTTGCGCAAATCTCACGTTTATATTTTATCCTTGACGATGGGCAAGAAGCAAAAGATGAAGATGGCCGCCCAAATGGCAATCGCTGCCAGTGCCTCGGCCGCAAAAAAGCAGGAAGAGATCAAGGCCATGGACCACGTGTTGGCCGCTAAAGGAGCAGGTGCGAAAGAAGCTCCTGCCGCAGGAGGAGGAAGACCTGGCTGCAGTGCCAGGAAGGAGCCCAACAAAATGGACCCCAAATATCGCAAGAACCTCAAGAAACTGATGAGCCTGGCCCAAAAGCTACCGGCCAATCTGCTGACCCCCAAGAAATCCCAGGAAGCCGCAGCCACCGCCGAAGATTCCAATGGCAGTGGTGAGTCCACGGACAGCGACGACGAAGAGGCCCCTAATCTGGTGGAACTGAGTCTGAAGGACAAGCTGGGGGAGCTCAGTTCGCTGGGCCAACTGGCCCTGCGGTCCACCGATTCTGCTAAGCAGTCACGCGGCGAAAAGAAGGCCCGCCGCATCCTCATGAAGCTCGATCTCAAGCCAATCGAGAACGTGGTCCGGGTGACCATGAAGAAGAACAAAAACATCCTGTTGTGCATCAACAAGCCCGAAGTGTACAAGGTTCCGCACTCGGAGACGATCATCTGCTTTGGTGAGATCCGCGTGGAGGACCTCACCAACGCCGCCGCCTCGCAGGCAGTTGCCAAGGCCGCCGAGCGTTATTGCAAACCAACTCCAGGCACTGGCGAGGATGCCAAGAACAAGGAGGCAGCTACTGCAGAGGCACCCGCCGTCGACGATGGTGACGAAGAGGAGGTGGACGTGGAGGCCGCCAAGGCCCTCGATGAGAAGGACATCGAACTAGTTCAGATGCAGGCCGTCTGCACGCGCAACAGGGCCATCAAGGCGCTGCTGAAGAACGACAACGATGTGGTCAACGCCATCATGGCCCTAACTGTGGGTTAGCCCTGTCGCTCAAGTATTTATGCAACTTGTCAACCAAATTTCGAATACACCAATTGCACTATGTAATTCTTGAAATACAAGCCCTTCAAAACCAAGGTTAATTGAAATATTTGTAAACCTAATTTCAAATTTTATACTTAACATGCTAAAACTCACCACAATGAAATACAAGAACTATAATTTCTTCAAATATTTTCACCAATAAAGTACCCTTAAGGGGAATCCTACATGAATAATAGCAAATCTCCATTTCATCCAACAATAATGTTTCGATAAACGGACATTTCCCAGGAAAGTTACAGTTGCACATTTCCTATTCGATTTTAGTTTTATTGGAGTTTCGTTTTGTGTGGTACTTTATTGCTTTATTGAATTTGGAAAAATAAATCAAGTTAAATCCTTTTGAAGGAGAAATACCGACAACCCACTTGTTAAACAAGCACGACAATTTCCGGTGAGCGGAACATATCGCTTGTAAACTTCGATTGGCATATTAATATTGCCAGTGGGTTTTTATTTACATTCAAAGAAATGAGACTTATTTGCGAGGAAACGCATTTCCTGTTTTTTGAGCATTTTCCGGAATCGAGCGGATGTAAAGCTTTACTTGCAGACATTTTCATTATTCAGATACAGACCTTTTCCTTTAAACAGCACATTAATGGGCATTTCTTTAATGTTTCCACTCTAATGAATTGACATTTTCCCATTTTAATTTTGACACAGTGAAAGAAGTGAAAGTTTTTTACTAAAGGGATATTCGGTTATGCGAAGCTGGACTGTTTTCTTTTTTTTACGTTTCCATCAGCGCTGGACTTTGCCAATTTTCCTTTCAGGTTCTGTCATTCTTGGCCATTTTCTTTTGTGGCGAAAATTTAATAGCTTCTTTCTTTGCACCGCTGACGCTGCACTTTTGTTTATTCTTCACTTAGTTTCAGCCGTTTGGCAAAGTCCCTCCGTACTCAACTTGGATTTTTTGTTAGCAAATTTTTGTGACGACACCAGGATTGCGTTTCCACTTTTTCCTTGAAGGGAGCAGACAGGTGATGTGGCTGCCGGTGACGTGGCTTCATAGGACCTGCTCCGCGGGAACTGGCTCAATTAAAATGGCTTGACTTTTTCCAGAGCAGACAACAATGGGCGAAAGCCACTTAATAAATAGCTGGCTCCAACTTAATTTCATTTAATTTGCAGCTGTCGTCAGCAGCCGTAAAAAAGGCTTTAGTTTTGCATTGTGGGCGCTCAGCAGTCCGTGTGGCTGGGCACGTGCTCGCCTTTCCACCGGAAAAGTGGAAATGGAAACTTTGTATATACGCCCTTGCCATTTTCGTAGTGCCAGTGAAAAATGCTCGCGCGTGTCGGCTTCGAGTGGAAAGTTTCTCCCCTGGAATTTTCCTCGCCGGAAATTGATTAACTTGGTTTGCCTTTAATCAGTGGAATTGAAGATGCTGCCGAAATACAAATCAGTTGACAGTCGGCAGGCAGACAGCTGGGCACCGCAATTTACTGTCCAATTCAAATGGTACTTTGAAGCACTTTCCGCTCGGAGTCCGGCTATTTCATCTCATTCCTGGCCAAATCCCGGAAACTGCGGCAACAAATCCGAAAGTTGTAAAATGCCTAATAGCCCTCACTTAAGTCTAGAATTCATCAGCTACAAAAGCCGACTTCCTTGAAATAAACGTATTGTTGTTACACAAGAAATACAACTTTATTAAGTAATTTCTTGTTTCGAAATTCTTAGTTGAAATAAAAGATTTAAATTATTAAAAATTGAAGTCTGAACCAATTAAAAACTGAGCTTACTGCATGGGAGTGCTATTTTATTAAGACTTTAAGAACTAATTATAATTATTGATTATATTTAGTTTTTATTGAAATGTCTAAATAGCTTAGTTTTCAGAAGTCCAAGATATTTTAAAAGCTATTGACAAAGCGCTTACAATTTAGAACATTTCTTTTTGTGTAGGCTTAAAGACTTCCTTTATCTGAATGCCACCTTCTGTTCCTGTTTTACAAGAATTTTCTTTGGCATAAAATGCTCAAGGTTTCCCCGGCCTTTTCTTGGCCCTTATAAACTTTCCCTTTTGGTTTTGCGGCCAACGTTTGGCCTACTGTCCTGTTCGCTTGAGAAGTTTCCATTTTCGTGGCTTTTTATTCACTTTCAAGTTGATTTGGGTTTCACATTTCGGTGCGCATTTCTTGACCAAAATCTGCAAGATTTGTCTTTGGCTTAATCCTTCTGCCTGGCCGCATCCGTCTGGGCATGTTAGCCTCCACGAGCTGTGACTTAAGACTGGGATCCCCACTCAGAGTCCTTCCTTTGGCCCACACAGTTCATCACTTTGCGTGGGGATACCATACATATACTGCTGAGCTAATCATGACGCCGATGATGTGGAATTCCCCTCCCTGGACCGACTTTTCCACAGCCATTTCCATTCCGTTGGGTTAAATGTCGAATGTCGAATGCCGTGTTGCCTTTGGCTGCTCCAAGTGTTTGCCAGCTTTTTGCCATGTGATTTGACGCCTGTGTTTGGCTTCGGATGGCCAAAAGTGGGTTCAAGAGGCTGCGCAGGTGTGTTTGCCAGCACTTTAGAGCTCTTCGGGGCTCCTTGGGGCTCTATTATTGTGAATATCGAGCACCTGGGCGCCCCGTGAACGGTGAACAGTGAAGAGTCAACAGAGAAAAGCGCGTTAGGGAAAGCCAACTTCCTGGCGTGTGATTTAAGGCCTCGACCGGCTCGCATTTCCCGGCCTTTGTGTAATCGATGCACGGATCCCGGCTAAAGGATAACAAATCGCTTTCATCCTGGCTTCGCTTCCTGCCCGAGCACAATGTGCACAATTCGCCATCTCCATCTCTCTAAATACACAATTCATAATTCCTTTTCTGGCCAGCACAGCGTGAAAGGGATTTCCGCCGCCTCTTCGAAAAAAGGACCCTCTGCCCAAAAAGCAATTAGATAAACTTGCCAGCTGGATTCGGCAATTGAAAGTGGGCGAAAGTGGGGAATTTCGGGGCCAGTTGAGAGTGGCAGGACAATTACGAAAGCGAAAGGATTGAATAATTCAGCAATTTGGACGGGTTAGGCGAATCAGCGTGGAATTATTCTCCTAAGTGGCATGAATTATGACTTAATTCGTTAAAAAAGTGATTGTTACGGGTCTCAAAGGAATACATATATTTAGCTTGTTCAGCAAAAAGTAGAGAAGGGAATTTATTAAATATTCGTGAGACAATATTATTAAACCCATTGAAATCGTTTTACTTACTTCAATAAATCTTTACTCGGAAACAGAATCGATTTCATATATTCCTTTATAATCCCATTTAGATTGCTTTTCTAAATTGTGATTGCTTTACACATATCACACATCCATCTTTATTGTTTTAAGCTGTTTTTGTCTGGATTTAATTGTTACAAACAACTAAACCGTTTTGGGTCCAGGTATCCAACATCAGATAAGTTATTTCAGAAGTTTTATTGTCCTATTTGGCATGTAAGGCAAATTACTTTTCCTTTGCCAAATTGTTTTCCATTTCAACCCGAAAAGTTTTAGCATTTTACAGTCTACCTCTTGCCCCTTTTTGCAACCGAATTTCAGCATCGCAGCAATTATAAGCTGCCTAGGGAATATTCAAGGAATTTGGCAAAGTAGAGTGCTGAGGGTTCGCTCGAAAACCGAGTTCTTCGGAACCCTCGTTATGGAAAGCTGCTTATGTTTCAGTAAAAACGCTCGGGTTTCCCCTGAATTTTCCTGCATGCAGAAGCATCTCGCAGTTAATAAGCATTTCCGTTTGCTGGAATTTATGTGCCATATTTTATTCAGATTGCGCTTCATAAATGCAGCTGGTGAAAGGAGAGCAAAGGCCACGGATAATGAACCATCCGGCACTCGGGGTAGAGAATTTTCAGCGAACTGATAATGTTGTTAAAGTGCATATGGGGGTGGGGCCAGTGATTGTGGGCGGGGGGGAAAACCGGGGGCTGCGAAATCAATTTCGGGGAAAACAAATTGCGCAGCTCAGTGGAAACAATACTGTCGCATTTTCTGCTTTTATGAAGTACATTTTCCGTGCTTGTGTGCTTATCTACCCTTTTAATGGAGAACTATCTGATAGCAGCCTTTTCCACTTTTGATAAATAATGTTTTCCTAATTAACTGACTTTTTATCACGTTCCCCGACACCTGATATGAAAACTCGCTTCGTTTTGGCCGAACAATTTCGTAATAATTTGTGAAATTCCAATGATTTTACGGCAATCGTCATGAAAATAAGCGAACAATACGCAACGAGATTCATTTGCATTTTATAATTGAATTTATGTAACCAATATGCCTGTCTTCCTCGGAATGAAATCACTCTGAACTGCGTTTGGTTTCATTTCTGCCCGAGTGGATAGTGAATGCCATTGCCTACTTCTTTGGGCATTTTTCTGCCCCAGATCGGCTTTATTTATTTCTCTTGTCCGCTACCTGTCGGATATATTTAAACGCATTTAATTGAAAGCGTACGACCTGCGCCATTTTAACTGACGTCCATTGAAAGTAATGTTTACTCGGGCAAAGAACATCAAATATCAATTTAATTTCGCTTCGCTAAATTGATATATTGGATTGCATCAATTTCAATAAAGGCTTAAAATGCAGTGCAATGTCATCTAACTAAAGTATTACGGAAATTGTCTGTATAGGAAAAGCATAGTCATCAATGCTACAATGTTCTTAAATAAGTATTTTATGTATTAAATATTCTATTTCAGAATACTTACTCGGAAAGTAATATGTTTTTTATTTATGTATAAATAATCTAACTTATTGTAAATCAAATGTTCTATCTGTTCAAGAAAATACATTTAGTAGCTGAACAAATTATATAATTTTATTATTAATATTGTAGTTAAAAGTCATAATTTTAAAATATATTTACGCTTTGCATTTAAATTATTAGCTTTTACTAAAATTTGCTATCTTTTAAATCAAATTGGAAGTCTGAAGGCTTATTCATCCCTAACCAAATTTTTAGCTATATATTAAGTATACGCTATATATTAAGTATACGTCATGTGAAGAGCAAACTTTTACAAGCTTCTATAAACATCTAAATTTGATAATGATTTGCTTGGTTTAAAAATTCTTACAGCTTCAGCTGTTCAAATACCTAAGGTTAAAATCATAAATATTTTTCTTTGTCTTTTAAATCAGATTTGGCAGAATACATTGCAATTAATTAGATTTGTTTTCTGGTAAAGAAATGTAAATCAAATAGCAGAACGATAACCATCATGCTAGCATGTAATTTACTTCCAGACCTGCATTTAGCTGAGCAAGTAAAAGTTGTGCTCCCAAATTGGACCCTCGTTCCCAATCCCCCGACTCACCGCAAGAAGTGCCGACGGCTGGCATCGACGCTGGGTGCCATATGTTAGGCTTACACGCTTATCGCACCCAGACCAGGACGACAAAACGACGGCAGGAGCAGCTGCAGGACTCTACTTCGTCTTCGACTTTGGGGCACTGGCTGTGGCAATGGCATTGGCACTCGGTCCTCGGGCGATGAAGTAGCTGGCGCAGAACACTGGCTGGGACTCAACCGCCTACTTGTTGTAGGCGGGCACTTTTCTTATTTAACCGCTCAACACTTGGCCAGCGTTCGCTGCGCTCCGCTCCCCAGGTTGAACTGAACCCGCTGAGCGTTGCGAGCATCAGGTAGTGCACGGCAGCGGCGGCCGACTGGAGCCGAGTGAAGCCGAGTGGAGCCGAGCCGAAGTCGCCTTCCAGCTGCCCTTCCAGCTGCCTGGGGAAGTGGGCGAAAGCTCGCAGCTTTCGCTGTTGCTTGGCCAGCTGCTAACGACCCCCACTCCCTTTCCACTCTCCCATGGCTGCTCCTGTTGCGCTGGCAGCGCGACGCCCACGCAAAGAGCTTTTCCGCGCAAGCCACGAGCTTTCTCTGAAGGCGGCGCCTACGATTCAAAGGACTCGGGGTTTCATTTTCGGGATACGGGGGCTGAGTTCGTAATCACCTCCCACCTCCCTCGCCTTCCCTCGGCGTTCGGTGGCCAAAAATAGCAACAGCGCGAAAGTTCCATTGCCTCCTACCACCATTTACATGGTACAGTAGAACATCTCTAAGTAAATATTATTTTGTTCTGGAAAATTCTATTCTACTATTTTTTCACCATCATAACTTTTAAAATACCTTTTCACTAGATTTCAAAAAAATAAAAGTATCTACTAACGAAATGGTTCAAAAATTGTAATAATATAATAGCAACAATATTAATGTGGATTATTAAAGTTATTTTTACATGGTAAATTACAATTAAGAAATATGTACAAGCTAGTTTTATATGCTAGTCAACTTTCAACAATTTGTCTATATTTTCTAAGATTTGTACAACATTTTACCATGAAAGGTGCTACTGTGGCGTCCAAATTTCCTTTCATTTTCGTTTGGCAATGATCTTCTCCACTTTTTCATGTTTTTTATGCTACTTTCTGTCTGTTTAACAAAGTGCCAAGTCAGTTGTGGAGCTCAGCTCACGACCAACCGCAACTGCTGTGCCGAAATTGTGTCGAAAATTTTATAACTTTATATCCCTGCTTGGGCTATTTTTAGAAGTGGGTGTAGCCAGGGTTGCCATTGCCACCATTGATTTTCCCACTGTTTTCCTTTTTCCCCCGCTTCTTCTTTTCCCCCGCCCCCTTTTTTCCGGGCTTTTTCGTCTGTTGCCTGACGCAGCGCCTTTTATGAATGAACTTGGCTCACATAACCATTTGTTATAACTCCCACTCGCAAAAATGAGGGGCGTTGCACCCTTCGCTGAAAACAGGGGTCGGGGGAGGGGATGTGGTGTTAGGGAAATTTTAATAAACGCGTTTTCAATGTCACCAAAATGCTTGCAATCTCATTAGGTAAATGGATTGCCCTTGTCGTCGACGACATAGTCTAGTTTTTACAATACAGACATTTGTCCATATGACGCCATTGTACCGCATCCTTCTTAGCCTGATGTCATGGATTTGTTTCTGTGTTTGTGCAAGGATATTGTTTAACTGGGGCGCTGTGCTCGTTGGCGTATGGAATTATGATTAATATTTGTTCAGTTTAAAATTAATTGCGTTCAGCTATTGGCTCGACAGCCGTTACCAGTTCACCCACACCCAACGCCAATCCCGTCACTTTCTGAGCCATTTATAATCCCATAGACGAATGGCTGAGGTCAGGTTATCGGGGGGCTAACACGATCTGGCTTGGAATTGCACGGAGTTACGGTGAATGATTACACGGCAGAAGGTTGGCCCGGCTAATTAAACGAGCTTACCTAATGTATTTAAATAAAAAAGGCAGAGCTAATCTGTGTTCCCTTTGATGGAATTCCCCAGGCGCAGATGGGTCTCATTTGCAATTAAAAGGGATTTAAATAGATTCCAATTGCTGACTTAATTTATTATATTATTTCATGGTAAAAACCTAAGCCATAAAGAGCACAATGATTATGTAGTTTGAATTCTTTTGAAAGCAAGGAGGAGTCCTTTGTTTAAGAAAATAACGTAGTACTTAATTTTGATTGTAATTAGCTATTGAAAATCTTTTGACTATTTCAATTGTTTTTCCTACAATTTAGTTACCAGAAATAAAAGAAATGTATTAGAAGCACAAACATCCATCCCAGTACCTTTTTAAATTTATGTGTAAAAAAATGAGTCCCCAGGACATCCTTTTTCTTTTGTCCCTTTGTAAAGCTTAAAGTTCACTAAGCCCAATAGTTGTCAATCTCTTGAAAGATTCATAGTCAATTTTAATATTAAAATATCCCTTAGAAGTGACGCACAAAATAAGCTGGAAAATTTAATATTCTGGGCAAAGTTAAGGCCAATTTAATTCACTTTCAGCCCACCATCAATCTTTGTTATGCCAACAGAACGGAAACTTGTTTGCTTATTTGTTCGGTCAGGCCTGCGTCAAAATATTTGTGCAATTGCTAGACTTTATGTGTAGGGGGCCATCAAAATATAATGCCTTACTCATGCATGTTTAACTGCTGCGGCTTCTGGGTGAACCGTATCTGAATCTGTATCTGAATCTGTGTTGGTTTAGTATTAAAACTAAAGTGGCGTCGTAAGTTCTGCTTTTAGGATGGCATCCATATTTGTATCTGTGGCGTTTGAGCCGTGGCGTTTTTATGCGAGCCGTTATGAATGTCCATTTTATAGGCCGACTTGTTTATGTTTACGCGAAAATATTTTCGTTTCATTTTTAGTACGGCCCCGTAAGCTGCCACGCCCCCCTCCCCCCAGACAGCCCATGCTTCCGGTTGTTGACGCAGCTCTTAATCAACCAGCGGGCCTTTGTGTGACATTTATAGCCGAAGTCCGGCCCGGGCTAAATTTAACGCACTTGTGGCTGATGGTGGACCACGACCTCATCGCTTTCTCCCAGAGCGCTGCATATGCCAGCGGCCATGTCAACAGCATTCAATCAATCGCAATGAAGTCGACACAAAGCCCACGCCCAGCAGGTCCCCATTGTTGATGAATGAGTCGTCAGTGGCTCCGGCGCGTCCTGTTCGAGAATGACGACTATGGCAACGGCAGCTCAGATATCCGTGCTCGAAATACAATCGAGTCACATGTCCTGCCGCCTGACGACGACAACAACAAGTGGTGGTGAGCGGCCATGCATTGAAGTCCTGGACAAACATGGTCGTAAAGGGATTGCACGGTAACCATAAAGCGCGATTGTCCATATATGACTTTGACATCGTTATGGTATCGCGATGTTATTCCATATTTATGGGTGTCAAATTATTATACATGTAACTCTTCCAGAAAATTCATAGATATTGTCCATACAATATCAAATCAAATATCATGTGTATATTATAAACTACGTTCATGAAAAAACAAAGTAGGAGAACCTTTTTACTCGGAATTCATAAACTGAGTTGTCTTATCTTCACAAATATATTTTGAATCAATAATATAAATATTTATCGATATTCATTTAAATTTTTTAGGTTGTACTAAATATGTGCAGAAATACTTCAGTTAAATATTACGTATACGTATTTAACGAGTTCGTCATAAACGAAATATTGCCCTTGCATGTACTGCTAATCTATATTTAATGATACGATAAATATACAAAAGATAAGTTTTATTATTGTGTTTACCATATATAGTAAATAGTAAATGCTTTCATAAAATTCCTCCTACGAAAGAAAAAAATGTATATTTTTATACCCTTGCAGAGGGTATTATAATTTTGGTCAGAAGTTTGTAACGCAGTGAAGGAGACGTTTCCGACCCTATAAAGTATATATATTCTTGATCAGGATCAATAGGGGAGTCGATATAGCCATGTCCGTCTGTCCGTCCGTCCGTCTGTCCGTCTGTCCGTCTGTCCGTCTGTTTCAATACCGTTTGCGAGCTCAGTTTAAAAGCTAGCGATCTGAAACTTTCACAGTCGTCCTAAAACAAGTGTACGCAGATCAAGTTTGAAAACCGCCCCGATCGGATGTCTATATCCTATAGCTCCCATAGGAACAATCGGATATAACTTGCAAGAATGGAAGATATTTCGCGCAGTGTAAAAGCTATTGACATAAATCTTTCCAAATCTTATTTTTTTATGCGTACCTTGATCAGAGTAAAAGCGCGTGACGATCGGACGTCTATATCCTATAGCTCCCATAGGAACAATAGGGTAAAATCGGTTAAAATTTAATGATTTTTAGGATATTTCACGCAGTATACAAGCTATTGACATGAATCTTTCCAAATCCTATTTTTTTATGCATACATTGATCAAGGTGAAAGCGCGTGCCGATCGGACGTCTATATCCTATAGCTCCCATAGGAACAATAGGGTGAAATCGGTCCTAATTTGATGATTATCAGAATATTTCGCGCAGTGTGTAAGCTACTAACATAAAATTTTCCAATTCTTATTTATTTACGCATATCTTGATTAGGGTAAAAGCGCTTGCCGCTCGGAAGTCTATATCTTAAAGGAGATAGGAAAAATTGTTAAAGGCTGCGAAAGTATCCCTTTTGTATATGACATTTTTGCAGTATAAAAGCAATTGACTTGAAACGATGCAAATCTAGTTTACTTATGTATACCTTATTCCTTTCGCTACTTTTTCACTTTTAGCAATTTCGTCAAAGTCTGCAAGGGTATTAAAACTTCGGCTTGCCGAAGTTAGCTTCCGTCCTCGTTCCTTTATCGATTTACTATCCCGAATACAATAATTGGATTATTTTGCGTAGACCCCAACATCGGTTAAATATTATTACACTTCAGTTTTTTTATATTCAACTCTAGGTAATAAAACCTTCAAGCTTTTGTTTGTTGTTCTATATGCACTAAGTCAGCGTAATTAGGAAGCCGTATTAAAAAGAATTTAGTAATCGTTTGAATTTGCTGTCACTTTGACGTTTTATCAATACCCCTGACGAAGCAATTAATTAAATATTTAGAGTGACCCCCATCAAGGAATTTTGTAATCAAGAGGCACGCGCCATTAATTGCTGCTGCTCCCATTGCAATCCCATTTCCATTGCCTACATTTCAGGGCAACAAAGGCAGGTGATAACTTTATGCGCGCACCTGTTGCCAAAAGGTCAAATCACTTAGCTGGTAACCCCATAGCCCACACACACTGCGGACCAACTAATGGTGGATGCAAATAGCTGTGACTTACCTCACTTTGACATTTATGGCGTGGCTCATGTATTTGTTTACTTCATATTCAGCGCAAACGAACGAAGACATGCAAATTGATGTGCGATGATTATATGTTTTTATATTAGCGATATTTTTTTGGTTGTGTGCCGTTTCCTGCCGTTGCTCCCTTCTCCAGTTTAATTTGTTGCTCTTGCTCCTAGATCGTATAAATTTTGATTAATTCGGCTGGTATGTACTGGGTATTTAGATGTATATGGATTTCGTTAGCAGGCACTTCTTTTTGACGCAAACAACGTCAGCGACTGACGACAGCAGCCTGAAGCCGAAAGCCAGAAACATAGCGCTTCGAAGACGTTTAAAGAGAGTTTGGGCCCACAAATTAAAAAGAGAGAGCGAGCTTCCAAGAGCACCGGCTATGTTGTGATTGTGTGCGTACTTTTGGTGGCAATGTGTGGGTGGATTCGCTTGCAGGTGTTCGCAGGCGCACGGATGACGTGCGATTATTTGCGGCCACTGGCGTCTAATTGCCGCCTCGCTGTTGATATTGGCCCACATGTTTCAATTTCTTGGCCACACAAAAAAAACTGAACATTGTTTGGCCCACGCCTGAAAGTGGGCGTGAGCGGAGAAACTGGGCATTTAACTACGCAATAGGCCAGGGGACACACACTCTCAAAAGTAGGCCTCAAGTCCTCTTGTTTCTGGTTTTGCGCCTTTGTTTTTGGTCTCTGGTTAATTGTGGGCGCGTGCACAAAACACGAAGAACAGAAATAGCCAGTTTAGGCCAAGGGAAATGGTGGAAAGTCGGGGCAAATGGCTGTTGGTTCGCAAAAACATTAGCAGCATATGGCTGGCTGACATTTTGTGTAGCATACTTCTAGGCTGTCACTTAAAATGTTCTTTCACACACACTGCCGCACTGTCACACACTCACTGGCACACACACAGGCTCACATTTAATGAAGTTCAGTGTCAAAATTTTCGTTTCGCTTTTGGCCACAAAAATAAAACACACACAATTGCCAATGAGCTTTTTGGTCGCCATATTTCTTCATTGGCTTGGTCTACTTTTAAGTCGGGTGAAAAATGTTATTTAATATAATAACAAAGACTAACGCCTCCTTACTGTATTTTTCTACTATTTTATCGTGCTGCCCAAGTCCTTGCTGGCTGCTCTTTTCTGGCTTTTCGCTCGCGTTGACCGTCAGCCGAAGGACTGCCTGTCCTACTGAAGCGCCGTTCCTCGGCAGCCCCGTTTCGCAGTCGCGTCGCTCTCGTGGCACTTTCGCTCGGAGTTTCGCCTGCCAGCTTGCCAGTATGTACCGTACAGTGCGCCCCCACCCCACACACACACACACACTCACGTACGCATCCGAAGCTGTCCAAAATTCCTACGCATTTCGCTGTGTGTGTGTGCCTGCGTGTGTGTGCTGTAGGTTAGGCACACGCACTAATAAGACAAAGCTCGGCAAGCTTTTGGCCATGCTTTTGATGGCCCACGGATGTGGATTACTCTAGAAATAACTGTTTAATTTTAAAATATAATCTGTTATGCCTCAGCCTTCCTTTAAAGTATATTCCGTATTCTTATGTGCTCTTTAAAGTAATGCTTTCTTGCTGGTTGTTATGTGCCAAATCTTGGTAAAAGTTTGCATCTTAAAGTTAATTTTTTTAATAAGAATATATTTTACTTAAGCTCTTTAGTTAATGACAATTAATTCACATTTTGAAAACGCATGAATTTTATTGATAAAAAATAAAAATATAAAATTATTAACTCTTTTAGAATTTAGTTCTTTTGACACCAAAATTTAATATTTTATTGGAATTAAATACCAAGATTTGGCATAAATGGCAATATTAAATTTCTATTAGGCGTTGAGTTAATAAATAAAAGTAATCTTAAAGGTGGTTTGAAAAAGTATATTTTCTCGACAATATCACTGAATATTTATGCTTACGAATTCTAAATACTACCAACACGACCACAACTGTATTCTTTCATATATATTTTGTATGTGACTTTATTATATTTTCCAGAACAAATAACAAACAAGTCATATATCAAGAAGAAAAATCGCCACATTAAAGGGTACCTGTATCTTGGTACATTTCCCAGCAAAGTTATCCCCTGGAATCGAAGGGTTAGCTCACCCGAAAGCTGCCCTACAGCAACAACAATGGCCGGGCTGCCAGATACCGCCCACCACCTCAATAATATAAACCATTTGACGTAGGTTGACAGCTGTTTGCGTTGGCCAAACTTTATGGCTATTGATTTTGCCCCGAATTCTGGATGGCGAGCCTGGGCGCAACAGTTTGAAAGTCGCAGCTTTCACTTTCGTGGGAACCGAGGAGCCGATCCGAAGGACAAGCCACCCACTGCGCCTGTCCGTTGCCTCTGTGTTAGTGTGTCAGGGCGGCGCCTGCGCTGCATTTTCTCGAGCGGAAAAGCTCTGCCGCAACAGTTTGTTGCCGACGTAGGCGGCACCCGGAGAACAGCCCACTTCCAGGTGGCGCCGATGCACTGGAAGTGGTCCCCCCCTCCCCATCCCCCTAAGGACCCCATTCCACACATCCTTCCACAAGCCTAGTCAATGACCATGCACATGCCAAGGCGTCGCAGTTGGCTTAGCAAAATTAATTTGATCACCCCGCTGAAAGGCTAAAAAGCGAGCTGCATGCTAATGCCGCTTTAATGAGTTCTGTTTCCGCCTGAATCAAGGGATTATGACTGCACACAATGGCTGAGCGTTGAGCTTTGCACTTTGGGTTGCGACTGGGACTGGCCAAGTGGCAAGGCAAGGGGTTAGTTTTGCTTTGCAACAGGTTGTCAATGGCATCCGGCACTTTGAAAAACTGCCCCGGCGGCCATTAAAATTCAGGGGATGGTAAGCCATTTTGAATGGCAACCAGGAATGTAGGCAATGAAAGAGGTATGAAATAAAGGGCTGAAATAAAATGCTGCATACTTGTCGGCTCATAAAAACATTTCTAGTTGTTAAGAAATTTCTTAAATTAAATTTGCTTTGTAAGCTATATAATATAAATTTAATTTCAAGCTATGAACCCCAAACACTTTCCCAACAATAAAAGTCACCTTTTACTATTACATTTCATGTAAATCTTTATTTATTCCATTCATTGAATTCGTGTAAATTTTGTTGGTATTCATAGTTATTATTTTGTCATAGTTGCAGGCCTTTTCTTTTCAATTTGTTAGCAAGTATCTAACTATAATAAGTGGCGGCAAAGTTGCATTCAAAATTTCCATAAGTATTTCATTCAGTTGTCAGTTAGTTCTGAATAGATTAGAATATGTACTCGTGTCACTGTGTGTCTCAACAGTTTTCAAGTCAATTTCATAAGATAAACAATTTCGATTTATGCCATAGATATAGTTCTTGGTATGTTTCAAAACGAGTGAACTAAAAGCGATGGGTGAGCAAAACAAAAGTCAATGAGATTTCATAAGTTTTTGATTCTTTATTTTTTATATTAACTATAAATTTTGTTTCCTTAGTTTTATGCTCGCTGTAAATACAATTTCTAGTTCGATGTCGAGCTTAGCATGAGTTAGCCTTTTGCTTTTATATGGTGTTTGTGTGTGGTGGGTTTTCTGAGGGTGTGCGATGCAATGCGGGATGTGTGTGCTATGGACAAGGCCAAATCAGATGGTTATCATAATAATAGCCTACTTAAAATTTGGTTAAACGCTAATTTACACAAGATACAACTAAGTAATTAGAATTAGGCTTAAAAAAACAGACATTAGCACTGTACTTAGGACTAAGGTGATGTGTTGTGTGATTTAGTCGCGTTTCTTTTGTAGTTCTATAGTTGTGACGGATTTGAGTGTGGTAACTGAGTGTGGAGACTGTGGGCATCACCGTCGTCGCATCATCGATAAGGCAAGTTTAACAGACGGCAAATGGTAACAACAAATGTTCTTCTAGTGACGGTTGCTGCTCAATGCTCTCTCTCTATGTACAACGATTTCAATATGAGTAATGCTTAGATTTTGGTTTTCGTTTCAAGTCTAAGTCGAAGGCACTGATTCTGATTCTCTACTCGGTTCTCAATTTAATATCTGTTTCTGGCTATAAGTCTGTTAGTATTTTGGGAGGGGCGAGGTGCAACGAGTTCGCGGCACTTGCAACAACTGTCACCGATCGATCTTTAGCTGAGCGTGTGTCTAAGTGTGCACATAAAAAATAATAATACATCATAATTACTAAAATGTAATTGAAATACGATTGGTTTTACATTTAATTTCGTTGCGCTACATTTACATTTATTTACTTCGTTTATTCACTAGTACATGTAGTACATAAAATGTGCATGAGTGTAGTGTGAGTGTTCTTGGGTGTTTTTTCTTTCAGATTTTTGCTCTATTTCGTAATTGTTTTGTAATTTACTTTTGAACGCTGCCTCGTTTACTAGTTTGATTCTTTCGATCTTCATTTTTGTTCGTTAATTTAATGATTCGCTTATGTTGTAACTATGAGTATGAGATGAGTTGAAAGCAGATTTTGCAAATGAGTTTTCTATATATTTATTCGCTTGCGCTAGTGTGTGTATGTGTGTACAATGGTGGTGTATTGTGTATGTGTATGGATGTGCTTGGTTTGGTTCAATAATTTAATATAATTTAAATATTTTTGTTTTTAGTTTTGCGCTGCTGCTTCATCGTCGTCTGGCGCCAGTTTAAACAATAATTTACGTTAGGTTTTGTTTACTTATTGATTACTAGATAAAGCATTCGATATAACATAAACTTGCATAGATAGACAGTTGGATAGTTTGTAGGAGATAGCCGAGCTTAGCCTAGTAGCAGAACAGTTACAATAATTTCTGGTTCATAAATCGAACTCGCCGCGCCAGTTGCAATTTAATTTATACATCGAAAAGGGGCGGGCGCACTCTTAGCTTAACATTCATTTAGCATAGCTTATAGCAAATCATAATACGTTATATGCATATATGTATATAGTAATGTGTTTTGTATTTAACACAATTGTTCCGTGTACTCTGCTCGTACACGTACACAAAAAACAATTTCGACAAAAAATAAATGGAAATAATAACATAAAGGCGAAATATTATGTTTTTTTTTTTTTGGGAAGGGGAAAGGGAGTTTTGAGTTTTACAAAAACTAAGATTCTACTCGTACAATATATCATAATCGGTATACAGTATATATAAACGATATCGTTAGTGTAGCGTATGTATAGTAATAATTATCATTATAACATAGAGTTCAGTTTGAGAGTTATACGAATCTCTCGCTTAGCTGCGAAGTGTTTTGTTGATTTCTTTCAGTAACTACTTTCATTCTCTCGCATTTTAACGCTTGTCTTCACTTCGATGTCGTTTGTGGAAATCCGTTCCCAGTTAGATCCTTTGATCGTTCGTTGTGATCGTCGAGCCTAGGGCGTCTTCAGCAGCAGGATGTCTTTCTTGCGCGTGCGACTGGCGCTGGCATTAAGCCGCTGGTAGAAGTAGTTTCGCCCAATCTTGCGCTGCAGCTTGTAGGACTTGCCCGCCAGGAATCTGGTGATGTCCAGCACATAGTCGTGCACGTCCTCATGGTCCTCGAGCAAATGTATCGATATCACATCGATTTTGACTTTGTCGAAGGGCAGCGTTTGCAAGATCTGCAAGAAAAAGTTAACCATTTAGCGAAAGTGTTGGCAGATTAAAGTCATCGAGTCACTCACCTCCAGCTCATGCCCCTGTACGCCCAGACTGAGCAGATCGTATTCGGTGCGCTCACATGCCAGCATGATTGTGTAGAGCGGAAAGCATTTGACACGCGAGTTGAACCACGAGGTCTCCTCGTCGTGCAGACTATTGATGCGCACATCCTCGTTGTGTATGGTAATCTGTAAAGAAAGCGAGTCGAAATTAGTTTATGATCTGAGAGTTTATTTTAAGGCAATGGTGGAAAGTTACTTTGAATCTTTATCTAGTGTTTTCAATAATTTTTTGGATTAAAAAATAAACTTTTCTTGTTTTTCCTAATTTGCATTCCCATATTTCCTCTTAAGCAAAAACTCACCTCTTTGGGATAGGTAGTGGGCGAGACGCAGGCATGTACCACCTGCATGCGCGCCCGCTGGGCGTTCTGCTTGCGCAACGTGAAGTACCAACGCGGCTCCGGCTCCACCAGCACGCCCATCCAGTCGAGCTGCTCGCTCAGCCAGGGCGCCGTGATCAGATGGGCGAGCGGACCGCTCAGCGACTGGATCACCGCTCCATTCATCTTCCCGCCCACCAGATCGGCCACATAGTGGGCCAGCTGGTCGGCTCCACTGCCGCTACTGTTGCCGCTCCCGCTTCCGTACGATGAACCGGCGGTGGCGGGGCGCGGGGAGTTGGGCGGCGGACCCACGCCCACTGTGGACGCCGCCGCGACCTTGGGCGACGCCTTGCCCAAGTACTTCCCCATGTGGATTTGGCGCAGGAATGCAATGAGTGCGGGATCGTCTTGCGCAACCCCATTCAGCTCGTAGTCGCGCGACATGTTCAGCCGAAACTGTTGATGGCGAATCTCTGCAAACGAAGAAAAATCGAAGAAAAAGATCAGTTGCAAGTTGGTTAAGATGATGGTGGCGGTAATTGGATTTAATTAAAACTTGTTGCACCACTGGACGCATGGCGTGTGTGGCTCAAACTCTGCCACGCTTCGCTGCCAATTGGAGCGCATTGACCACATTTGCATTGGCAAAATGAGTGCGCTTCAAATGCGCACTACTGAGTTGTGGATTTGAAGGTAGTCTCCACTCTTGAATATATATTATACGATAGGTATCAGAGGACCTCTCAATATCAGTAGAGAATTATCTGTTCTTAATGTCTATAAATGTTTTGTAAACACTGTTATAGTTTGAAACCCTATTTAAGAGTAAGTTTACTAATGTTTAAATACTTGAAAATATAGTTCCCAATTAGATAAGCGATATCTCAGACTTCTTAAAGAATGGAGCAAACCCAAATCTAGAGCAATAAAGTATTTAGCCAAATTTTAGGCAAAATGCCATGTCAGTTTGGCATAAATTGTGCTGTTCAAAGTGAGAAGTAAAGGAGCAGGAGACCCCGTCGAAGGTCGAGTGGAGGAAACTGCCGCTTGGCAGCGGCGATGACCTCGCCTTGAAAAGCGGCTCGACTCGGCTTTTGGCCGCTGTGCCGGCCCATAAAGTATAATGAGCGCACGGCCTTTGATATTTAGCACATGACCCCATCATCCTCCTCTCCTCCAGTTGATTTTTCCTCCGGGCCCCCACCAACCACTTGACTCATGTCAGAGCCGGCCCAACCTGTCCATAAACCTTAGCTACAAAAAGCCAACGATTGGCCGTAGTTTTGTTTTTGTATCCACACTCCGCACAGTCATACATTTAGACGTACCACTTGGGTTTGGTTTTATTTGCTTTTCACACTTTCCTTGTGCCAATTTCCACTTTTTGTTTCGTTTTAACCTGGCCTCCGGCGAAACAAATCGTAAAAGAAATTAAAATATTTCAAATGTACATGCAGCAATTTGTGGCAGCTTTAAAGTGCATTAGGTTGTCCCTCTTGGTTGGAAAAGGTTATCGAAAAGGCCAAGGTTTGATGACCAAAATTGGGGTTTTTGGGAGTGAAAACAAGAACAAATTAAAACGTGGCCTTTATTATAGTTCAAAGTAAGATTAAGGAAATCAGCACTAATCGTAAAATCTTTTCAAATTTAAATTATGAATTAAATAAATTTGACAATAAGAAATTTTGCGTGGGCGGAAAGCGTGGCAAACATTCAGTCAAATCGATCTTCCATTTCGGCTACTTATACGTCATTATTTCTCGGTCGGGTTCGTCAGACGAATTCACATCGTTATAGCAGCCTCACCCAAAAACCAAGTCGTTATACAAATATATTTTTATATATTTTTTTTCGTTGCCCATTCAACGCAAATGTGCCATGCAAATTTTGAGGCGAAAAAAAAGCAGCTAAAACTTTTATGTTTCGGTCACAAAATGGCCATAAAGTTTATTATAATGCATATACGAACAGATAGACAGCCAGAAAGCCAGAGCAAAAACAGTTGCCGGCCATTTAGACAACCACTATAATTTAGCTGAACGGAGATGAAGACATTTTTCTGTAATTTTCTAAACCAGGGCCCCCGAAGGCCAGTGAAAACTTGCACTAATTAACGCCCGACCAAAAAAAAAACCACCGATCGTGGTAGGGAAAGTGCCCAGTTGGGGGAAATTGATGCGGCCATTAGTTGTGGAAATCTGATAGCTGATTGCTGGAAGGTCTCGCATTACACCGTGCGATTAGAAGTTAAATGAATTATTTGATCATTTGTCTACCAGCATACAGAATAACCAATACCCACCTCCAAACATTGATCCTATACCCCCGACAGCTGTGCAATAAAAGCCGCCTTAAACCGTTAAATGCGAACACATGTAAATCCGATATATAAAAACCGAAAATGAAAATGAAAAGAACGAAATGGGATGGCGTGGCATGGTGGGGAAACAAATCTGCCCTCGGGCGCAGCAATTTCGGTGTCAAAAGCTGACATTTCTAATTTGCACAAGGGGTCGTCGTCGTGGTCGTCATTGTCGACGTCGTCGTCGTCTTCGTTCAGGGTGGGCAAGACAAATGACAGGGCAGACCCGGGCCCGAAAATTATATTCAATGGCAGCGGACATTACCCAGAAGGAATCGCCGGTCGAGGAGCAACGTTTAATTGCGGTTAAGCGGCGGCAAACTTTAAGTCGTCCTGAGGCGGCGGTTTATTCAGATTATTCAGGGGTAGCGAATGAGGGACCGACTTGCCCTGCCAGTGCACGCCCTATTCAATAATTCAACAAAGGCGGCCAGGCAAATAAAAACACAGAGAAAGGGAGGGGAGAAGGGCACAAGTAAAGCCCACAACTTTTATGCATTTTCAATTGCGGGTAAAAGTTTATTTTAAAAAAAAGTACACTCATCGGAATTTATTTTAAATGTAATGCCAATACGGTCCTTAAAAGGTTACAAGTCTTTTAAATTGTATAAAAACTAATTATAAGAAATTATAAACAAAGAAAAAATAGAAAACAAAACAGGTTTTCTCTTTTTCTAGTCAAAATTATTATTTTATTATTATTTTCAAAGGATCCCAAATTAAGGTATTTAAATCCCTAAAACTTTACTAATTTTTGTGCAAAGTGTATGCCTATAAAAGTACCAAAAACTTTATCGTTGTAGTTTGTTTGCCTTTGTTTTTTTGAGGGCACTGCGACGTGGCTGTCGCCGGGCAATGTTACCCTCGTTGTGTAACATCCAAACGGCCTGAAAATCGGGATCTGGAATTGCGTGCCCGCCCTGTGTTCCTTCCGCATGTCCTTTTGCCATTGCCTAGTAGTTCAGTTATTGATTTGTGCAACGATTTAGTTGGAACCGGTAGACGGGCTTGTAATTGCTTGTTTGGCGCTATTCAAAATGGCCTGTTTCCATGCTGATAACGACGAATGTTCCTACATGTCTTGCATGTGGTAACAAAATAAGCAACGCAAGCGCTGATTTATTTAGCAAATGAGTCCGTGGGTGTGAGTGGGCCTAATCTAAGTGGGTCGGATCTTAATCACCGCCTGCAAGGCGCATTTAACTGTGGCGAAATGAAAAAGGCCAATGCGGGCGAACTTCTGCATCACGTGATCAGGTGTGAAATGCATTTAGTGGTGAGCAAATAAGGGAAATGGAAAAATAGAAGGTAAAAGACCTAAATAACACAAATTTCTATGGGGAAATTTACTCTTTGTCTGTAGAAATAAATCTTTAAATTGTATTAAAGCTACAAAAAGGTGTTTACCATAAATTTAGGCACACGAGATCCAATAACTGCTTCAATTAGGAACTGATACATGGCAACCAAACACTCTATATGATATATGACCTCAATTGAAACGTGCCAAGAAACCTTTAACATAATAAATGACCCCGTTTTAATGTGTTAAACGTTCCCTTAGCATTTATCAACCCTGATTGAAATATCTTTCAACGAAATCCCGATAAAGCAGACACACACTCACGACTGGAGGGCAGTTGTTCAGCTCCCGCTGTTGTTGTTGTTGTTGTTTCCCTTTTTCTTATTAACCTTATCGCTGGGCAATTTCCCAAGGAGAACCCACACGACGCCTAAGAAATTGCGCAATTGCATTGGCAGTGAGCAGTGAGGGTTGCAAAATCTGAAACCCACATGCGGGTGTGGTGGCACTAAGGAAAGAAGGAAAATAAGTGGAAAAAGTGGTTCGCAGTCATCGTGAGTCGCTGTGGCGCATGCTGTGATAATGCCATTTGAGCTTTGCTTTTCAAATTGAGCACTCGCTACGCATTTGACGGAGCCGCCGGGCTGATGATCATCTCCGCCGGAGCCACACGAACGAACCACTTGCACCACACCGACGAACCACCGCAGACCATGTCCCGCAGTCCAGACGACTACGAATCCGACCACGACGACGACTACTCTGCGGGGGTGGATTTTCTCCGATGCCATTTCACCGGGTTGGGGGCCATGCAACAATGTTGGCAACTGCACACGAAAATTATGAATCACAAGGCAAACTAAGCCGGGGAGTGGGAGGAGGGCTCTGAATGACATCCGGTGGCTAGCAGGGGAGGTTACTACTTACACACAAAAAAAATAGGGTTCAAAGTTCTAGTTCTTTGTTGCTATTTCGTATGAGAGATCGAGTAAATCTACATCATATTAACAGTAGTAACAGAGTCTATAATCATTTATTTATTGAATCAGAAATAACATTATTTTTAAGTGACACACATCTTGCTATTCTATGTAAATTTTAATAAATTTCCATTCTGCGAAACACTTTAAATATATACCCTTTATTAAAGCCTAGTATTTATGTTTGTTTATCAGTAAATTAAGTAGTTCAGATCATATAATATTATAATATACATTTTTTTTAGGTGCAGGATAAGAGTCCAAGAACAATCCCGAGTAGTTAAAACTGCTTAGAAGCAGTCAGACGAAAGAGGGGCTTGCCAAGACTCCTCCTCCGCTGGAAAACCTCCCTATAAACACGCTGCGTGCTTAACGGGAATTAAGTCATTAGTGGTATGTAGTGTCTGTATGCAATGGAGTTCAAGTTGTAAATTTCAATTAATGTTGCAATTTGCAAATTGTCACCAATGGAGGCCAGACGACAGTGACGACGACATCGTGTAATCACCGCAAGTGTGAAGATAATGCCCTCTTAACATGATTAATGCTTTGACCTTTGGGGGCGTGTTCGATACGAAAGGCAAGCATTGGGGGAAATGTATAGAGAAAAGGTAATGTTGCAAGTATGTGGTTGAAAATAATGCAAAACTTAAATATAAAAGGGTAGACTTTCTACTTTCTTGTTAATGAGCCACAACACATAAAAGTTCTGCGCCAATTCCACAAATGGGCTAACACGATTTGAGGTACTTGTTATGGTCGTCTTCTTTTTTTCGGTTGCCGACTGCTGTCAAAGGTGAGGCTAATGACACTGCACCTGGCCACCTGCACCATTCCTCCCCCTTTTGGTCACGAGTCACGAGCCATGTCAACAACAACAACAAGTGAAATGCGGCAACGTCGCCAAAGGCGCGGCTTGTGGCGTGTGAAGATGGCAACAGTAGTTACCAGTTACCAATCAGTTAAAAGTGAACGGTGAAACAGTGAAAGCCAGCTAATCGATGACTAAGTAATCACAGGGCGTCAATAAGTAGGCTATGCCTGGATTATGGCACAAATCAATGCAATCCGAGGGTAGAATAATCAAATCGGGTGACGCATATTAGAGGGCAAATACATTTTATTGAAGTTAGACATGTGTTCGGCAATCAATATAATTGGAAATATGTTGATGGAATGGTCTAAAAATAAATAATACTACTCGCTATATTGGTAGAACCAGTTCTTGAAACTAAATGATTTTTTCAGCCAGTTTGGCAAGTAGCAATAATATCGTAAAAAGTTTGAATGGTTATTACCAGCAGTTAAATAAAAGTTCGATAACCTCGCTCTAAATTATAATTTTGAAATCAGACTAATAAATAATTAAACAAATACATACCAACATTTTATTATTAAAATAAAATAACTAGTAAATCTAGAGATAATTTCCTTTCGTTTTATGTAAACTAATTAATGGTTTCTTTTTATGAAAAATCATTAACCAACTTTTCAAGTGGATACACAAAGAAGGCGCCTTTATAATTACGGTGATTATATTTGTGGCTATATAATTACCTCTTATTTTATACCTACTCTTGTTAGTCTAGAACAGTTTTGTGCCTTTCCCAGTTACATTTTCCCAGAGAAAGGATCCCCGCATTCTTGAGTCACTCACATTCCCCCGATTACAAAATGCCGCCAAACATCAAATGCTATTTCCGATTCCGAATCTCTCCCCAGAGAAAAGCGCAGAAGTGCTTCGGTCATTGCAACAATCAAAACTGGAACGTGACTGTTACAACAAATCCAGGGATTTTGATTGTGGGGGACCATCAACAAGACTATCATCGCCATGAGAGAAGTACAGAAGTGCTGAAGAAATGGAAACAAAAAGCGGCCGAGGCTGAATTTGTAACAAAACCAGCGTAGGCAAGCAGAAAAAATGAATGTGAGAGTTGGCATTTGGTATTTGGGTTCTGGAAAGTCATGGTCAGAGGCTTATCAGCTTGGGAATTTTGGAGAGGGAGGGGGAAGGTGGCTTGACTACCTCCGACGTCACACATTCCATAACCGAAATACAGAAAAAAATTTGTCACTTTAATAAGCGCATTTCGGTTCGCTTTGGTTCAGTCAAGTGCATGATTTGAAGAAATTTCGACTGGCTCAAAGCTTCAACTTTTAAACCTCAATCTTTGTTCCTCCGCACGGAACGTGTTAAATTTATATGCCCCTCTGCTTTTGTATTGAGAATAAGAGGGAGAATGGCCAGAAGAAGGAATGCCTTATTTATGATTATTTTTGTTTATGAATCCGTTCGCTCGTATAATCCTAATAGAGCCATCAATGAGCCATAAAAATGGGGCTGTCCAGCAGCAGCAGTTGACACGCCCAACCTGGAGACATCAGACCTTCCTCGAACCCATTCGAATCGAATCAAAATGAGACCCAGCCCCGTCTAGTCAACGTGGCGACGAAAAACAAAAAGAGTCGGATATTATAGCCAATGATATGTTGAATTATAACCCCTTCGAGCACTTAACTGAGAGCATGAAATTACAAATTTATGGCAAGAAATCAGCAGCAATCATCATTTCGATTGTTTACAGTTTTTAATGGAGATAAACCACAAAACGAAAAAACAAGAAGTGGCAGGGTCAACCATAAATTTAATAATAATTTTGACATTTAACAAGCAAATTTTTAAGTTCTTCTTTAATCAATAAAAAAACTTGACACTTCTTTCAATTAAAATTCAGCTATAAAAACTTTTTACTATTTTATCAGAAATTTCTGAGAGGCAAAAAATGCAATTGTATTAGGTGAACTTTAAGACAAATGCTAAGTAAAGTCATGACTCCACTCTCATTAAGCAAATGCAAATAGAAAACTGCTCACTTGTTCAATCAGCTGGCAGTTCAAATTCAATTCCCTACAAAATTTGCATAAAATTCTTAAGACATCGCACAAAAAAAAACAAAAAGAAAGGAAGAAGTTGGCGCTACGGAAGAAGTCGATGGGCCAAAAGGAAGCAACGCAAGGAGGCAAAAAGTCAACGTCAAAGCGAAAATTGCCAACACCCGAGTGGAATTTTAAAATGCCTCTCTAGAAGTGGATGTTGATTTTTTGCAGCTGCAACAACAATGCACTGACATTGATTTTTTGGGCCCTGGTCTGGGTGTTTACACTTAGTAGCCCTTAGTCACTCTCTGGGCCATATGAATCACCCAATAATACCCGGCGCCAGCGTTGGCGATCAGTCGTCAGCGAGCTCACATCATATGCAAAACATTTCGATTGTAAAATACTTGAGCGCCACAGCGAAAAAAAAAGCATTACAAATTAAGCAAATTTATTTTGTACTTTCGTACTAGTCCAGCGACAACAGAATTTACACAGGCATTCTCCATCCGTCGGCCTGTAATTTGGTCGTCCCGGCGACAACAAAATATTTTAGCGAATTAAAAGAAATTGCCTCATCCGACAGCTGTCCGCGATCTGGACAATAATGTGGATAGATGGCCAAGCTAACTAAGCAGGCAGTGCGTCATCTTTCGGATATAGATAAGTCACAAGGTTTACGATATGGATCATTCAAGGGAAGGCTTTGTGGAAATGATAGAGTTTAAAGCACAATGATTCTGCTTATCATGGCAGTTTATAATGCTCACATAGATATCTTTGTAAGATTAAATATTTGCAAAATTCTTTCCTTATCGAATGGTTAAGTAAACAATGTTCTATCATGTTCAGTAATACCTTAAGAATGTGCATTTCCGTGTATAATCTATCTACAGAAATTGGTATAATTTAAGGTTGTATTATTTGCATTAGGAGTGATTTACCTATATTTCCTGAAGAAGATTCATTATGATTCTTAAAGAAAGCCCTCAATAACTTCTCCCTTGTTACCAAACACCTATTCAAACTCTTCTAGTTAGTCAACTAGCCATGATGGCTCCTCAAACGATGGAAACAAGGCAATTAGATATTCCTCTGACGTTGAGGCGGCTGTCTTTGAAAGGGAGGAGCAGGCGGGGGGGCAGGCAGCACGTGTCTGGGCTGCCTCATCGATGGCAACGTTTTGGGGCAATGACAACAGCTACGGCAACAGCAACGCAAACAGCAGCGACAGCTGTCGGCAAGCGATTGCCGACAGGAAGCGCCACTGCGCCAGCCAACGCTGCACAACACGCCCACGCAAAAAAGATATTGGCAAAAAATGCAGACCTTAAATAAACTCCAGAGGGGGACCAAAACGCAGCGATCTATGACAAAAGATGCGCTGCTGGCCAGTTTAGATGACGTGCAAACTAATCTTAAAAGTGTGCCCATTACCGGGAAAGGACAACCTTTCGAAATTCAAAAAACGAGAGAGGGGGAACGGATCTTCAGCCAAGGCAAACACAGCCTACATCCGGTGGAAAAAATGGTATTTGGGTAAAACCCAAAGAAGCGAACAAAAAAATAAAAACAGATGACATATGCCAAAGATATCAAATTTAAATAAGTAAACACTGGACAGGATAGAGGATATAGAAGACTCACCTGTCGTGTCCATGTAAACAATTAATGTGGCGAAGACAGTCGCGAAGGAGAGCAGGCACAAGGCGATGGGCAAAAGCTGGCGATAGGGCGAGGGATTCAGTCGCGGATCGAGCTTCTTGGCCTTGCAGGATCCAGATCCTCCGGAGCCACCTCCTCCGCCGCCTCCCCCCGCCGCACATCCCGCTGCCGAGAGGTGATGATGATGGTGGTGATGGTGGTGCTGCTGCTGCTGCTGGTGGTGGTGGTGGTGTGGCCTGTGCGGATGCTGAACCTGCTGGGGAGATGTTCTCGCCCGGGATTCCACGCCCTTGGACTTCTGGCAACAGTGCAGCTGCTGCTGCAGCGCCTGTGGCAGCCGAGTGGGCGTGGAAAGGGGCGAGGAGACTGTGCTAACCGACGGCGAGCTGATCACGCTGCTCAGGTCGCTCTGGTCGCCACCTCCTCCGTCCTGGTGGTGGTGCCTACTCGTCGTCGCCGTCGTTGTCGTCGTCGTGTTTTTGTGGCGCTGCTGCACATGGTCCGTCTCATCGGTGCCACAGTCTTTGGTTGGTTGCCGGATCTCCCGTTCCGTCGTCTCCTTCATCTCCTTCTCCTGCTGGCCAAAGTTCACCTCGTCGACATCCTCGCACTCGATGTCATCGTCGTCGTCCACCGCCGCATAATTTGTTCGCACCGGCAGGGTTTTCCTGGACTCCGGACTGATGGCGGGATTGGATGCACTTGGCGTGGCCTGCTGGTGGACGCCGCTCAGCGTTCCCGATCCTCCGCCGGCACAGCTCCTGCTCAGGGTGAACTTCTTGGGTGTGGCCTTGGCATGCCTTCTGCTCTGTGTCGCCGCCGATCGCTGCTGCTGGTGATGATTACTGCTAGTGTTGTTATCCTCCTGTTCCGCCAGCTGCAGCTGCTCCACCGCCAGCGCTGGATGCGCCGAGAACACTTGCTGGGACATGACTTCTCTGTGGGTGTCTATCTCGAATGCCTCCTGGTTGGGAATCCTCTCCTATAGCCGCATCCTGGAAAAGAACAGAGCAGAAGAGAAGAATCCAATTAGTCCCAAAACGAAAACTAATTTCACAAAGTGCATTGAACTGAAACATCATCATCATCATCATCATCATCATCATCATCATCATCATCATCTACCCAGCATCCTTACAGCCAGCTCTCCATATGTCTGGCAATCTTTTGTCTGCTCCTTTGCTCCTGCTGCTGTCTGAACTCATATTCATTTTTATGAATAGGCAAAAATACAGTCCGAAAAAAAGAAAACCGAAATGAGCTGAGAATGCCCAGACTCGAACTCAAATTCAAACTCGAACCCAAGAGCAAAAGTCGCTCCAAGACGGAGGCCCGAAGAAATTGAATACAAAACTCCACCACCTGTCAAAAATCGAGCGACTGCCAGACAAAAGCCGGGTGCGACAGGGACGGCAGATCCAGACGTAGAGCGAGAGGGAACGAGAGCGGTTGATTGCCAAAGAATTTCAACAACAACGCGAGGTATTTTGTGAACCAAATTAAAAAAGACACAGAACGAGAGTAAGCGAGCTGGGCCCCGGAGGGGTGAAAATGCATTGCAGCGAGGCATGAGAATTATAAATGGAAAAGCATTGAAGACGACCAAAAAAAGAAGGCGATCGAGGACCGCAAAGAAGGCGGAGGGCCACAGTGGAAGTGCCAGCCGTTCTTTGTACTAATGTGAGTACCTACAGCACGGTCTAGATAATTATTATTATTCTAATTAGTTTAAGGGTCGAAAGGGTCGCTTAGTATAGTTAATATCTCTTGTTCATCGCAAAACCTCAGTTTTTTCAATAGCTTAATAGGTCAAACTTTTGCAATTTACTGTATTTCAAAACGAAATTTTTTTTTTGATTTTAAGTAACTATTGTTTAAGATATTTTTATACCCTTGCAGAGGGTATTATAATTTCAGTCAAAAGTTTGCAACGCAGTGAAGGAGACATTTCCGACCCTATAAAGTATATATATTCTTGATCAGCATCACCAGGAGAGTCGATCTAGCCATGTCCGTCTGTCCGTCCGTCTGTCCGTCTGTCCGTCTGTCCGTCCGTTTCTACGCAAACTAGTCCCTCAGTTTTAAAGCTATCTGCTTGAAACTTTCCCAAAAGTTGTCTTTCTATTGCAGGTAGTATATAAGTCGGAACGAGCCGGATCGGGCCACTATATCATATAGCTGCCATATAACTGAACGATCGGAAATGCCATATCTTTGGTGTTTTTAAAGTTAGGAAGTTGGGATTTTCTATGGGTTTTATTTTTGGCTAATAAATCCGACCTCCCAAATTTCATAAGGATCGGACGACTATATCCTATAGCTGCCATATAACTGATTGATCGGAAATGCCATAACATTGGTGTTTGTAAAGTTAGGAGGCTGGGATCTTCTATGGATTTTATATTTGGTTAATCAATCCGACCTACCAAATTTCATAAGGATCGGCCGACTATATCTTATAGCTGCCATATAACTGATTGATCGGAAATGCCATAACATTGGTGTTTGTAAAGTTAGGAGGCTGGGATCTTCTATGGATTTTATATTTGGTTAATCAATCCGACCTACCAAATTTCATAAGGATCGGCCGACTATATCTTATAGCTGCCATATAACTGAACGATTGGAAATGACATAACTTTGTTGTTTTTAAAGTTAGGAAGTTGGGACTTTTTTTAAGTATTAAGAATGCATCATATGAATAATTTTGGAGAATATAATTTATAGAATATTCTGCAAGGGTATATCAACTTCGGCTCCGCCCGAAGTTAGCTTTCCTTTCTTGTTATGGCTTTATTTTAGTAAACAAACAAATACTAAATTCAATTTAACGCCTTATAGTTTTAAATATAAAAACCAAATTTTAGAAACCTTAAGAACAGAGGGAGAGCCCTAGAATATCAAACTCAAAATCTTTCTTGGGTTAAATACTCGTACATTTTTCAGTGTCGATGCTATTATTTTGACCGCCACTGTATGGGTGTAGTGCCGTGTACTTGTGCGCCTGCGCAACAGACGCGCGAACGAGAGAAGCCATGCTCGGCTTCAACTGGAGTGAGTGAAACGGCACGAATCGAGTTCATCAACTGGCAGTGGAAACAGCAGATGTTTTTCCAATGTTTGGCGGCTGTTGCTGCTCTTGGCTCTTATTCATTCTCGCCCAATCCCTCTGCACGTTGCCCTGCCCCCAAAAAAAGGTATGCACAAATTAACAAGAGATTTGTAATGGACCAAGCAACAGGCAGGGATCGCAATGAGGTGGTCTATTTAACAGAAAAATCTGTATCCTTTGCTAGAAAACCTTTCCTGAAATTATACTTCGTATTATATACGAATATACTTATATACTTCTTTAATTATTATTTTCAATATTGTGCACTCCCTATTTTGACATTTTAAAAACCAGCTTATTTGAAAACTTTCAAAATCGATTTGGTTTTGTTTTTTGAAATTCTATCAAACGAAGACTCTAAGTAATGTTGGTCAAAGGTTCTATGATAATGTCCTAATAATACCATTGCATAACTAAATCTTATACAATCTCTACTTAAAACAAAGAGTATTATAGCATCTATTCGGGCTTGATAAAGCATCCATTCATGTAATTCCCTTCCTCTTAGTTTTTGCTTTATGTACCACAACGTCTTCGGGTTTGGCTGTTGTAGTATTTTTTGCTCAGCCTCCGTTGACTGGCTCGTAAAGCTCCTTTGTGCTAAGGGCAAGGCTGCCATCCATCCAACAGAATCCAGAATCGGAATAAGAATAAGAATCAGAATCGGAATCAGATCGCTGACCAGCAGCGAAGTCGTGGTTGCATTGACTTATGTGGATGCCGCCGCGAGGCATTCGCGCATTCATTATCCATTACGCGTGCGCCCAGTTCTTGGTTCTTGGGATCCCCATTCTCAACTCGACGACTTCCCCGCGGTTTCCCCTGGAGAGTGGAATATGTTTTGAATGTTTTGATTTGCTGGAATTTATTGAAACATATCCCGGCAGCAAAGCCGGCTGTTCGAGACCTGTGATTAAATGCCCTGCTGTTGGATGCTCGCATTTAATGATACTCTACCCTGCCTTCGTTCGTTAAACGATATGGTTCCTGGAATGTGCTCAGCTTAAATGGGTCCATCTGAAAGATAAGTCGAGCATCTGCAGGTTGCAACTGCAGTGGGTAGTTTAAAAGCAATCAAAACGCTGGTAAAGCAGACCATTTAATCGATATCAAGCGTGTCATTAACCACTTACGTTGTATAATGCATCTAACATACATAAATTCCTTAAAATTCATTTTAATGCTCGATTTTCTTGAATTTTTCCCACAACTATCAGCTTTTTAATCCTATTCCACACACTTTCTGCCAAATGATTTTTATGGTATCGAACAATTAAGATGCATTTTCACAGCTCTAAAAGAAACTTCAAGTTTATGGACGCGTTTAATGGGCTTTTAATTCAGTAATTAGTTGGCTTCGTCTTTGATTTGCAGTGCGTAAATAAAGCGCCATGAAATCGAATTGAAACGGAGCGAAAAACTTTGAAGTTGGCTAGGGAAAGGGCCGCAGATACAAAGTATCTGGTGGATACTGCAGGCGGTCGGTCTGGCGTGTGATTTACGGCTTGTCGCAGCGCATGAAATCGATCGATTTAAAGAGAGAGAGAGAGAGGAGAGACCAGGAGAAAAAACAAAATACAAAATCAGAGGGAGCCGACAGCACTCGGATGTATCTATGCATCTTTATAGCTATATCTATAGATGTATCTGTTTCTGTATCCGTATATCTATCAATAGCTGTGTGCGCGCTTTTGCCGGCGTCGCTTTCATTGATGCTGCCCTTTTTTGTGTCTGCTGGCTGTCTGGGAAATCGTCGACTTGGCAACAGTATCTATAGCCGTCTAAATATTCTGTGACATAGGCACCTCCCAGTTGGCGCCATCGCAGAGGTCACCAAGATTCAAGTGGGCTGGGTTAAGAGATTTAGGAGTCCGAGGCGATTTAGGCCCTGCAATTTTAGCCACTTGGCGTTGTGCAACATATTTTGCGGCCCCAGTTCCGAGAATCGCCAAGCCAAGCTGAACAAACAACAAAATCAGGAGGGGAAAAGGAAAGGAAAAGGAAAGGTGAGACAAGGTGGCACATACACGGAGAAAAATGTAAAGCAAGTTTTACCAATTGTATTCAAAGACAATATTTAAATCGGTTAGATACTTCATATTTGTAAAGTATTTTTAATATTTTCTTCATGAGAAAAAGGTTTGTATTTCAAACCTCTTTTAATTCGCTCCCAAATATTTATTTAAAATATATCCAATCTATAGTTTAAAACATATTGAAGAATAATGGTTAAAATAATATTTTTAAATGTCAGAATTTGATGATATTTTATCCATGTGTAAGAAGCAACAGCAGCAGAGGAAGAACCAGCGAGCGAACATGCCACAATAATGTTTTGCGGTTAATGATCGTGCGATGCGAGGTACGTATAAATGTAACACATAGCCAGAAAGAGAGGGCGAACGGCACAAGACATTTTGATAAAACATTTACAAACGCACTCAAGCAGAACTCCATCATCCCAGCCACACACAAAACAACACTGCCAACACAGTTAGAAGGTATAAGGTATAACCACCAAAGAAAACAGAACCACCAGCAAAATTATACAAGAAAAAAAAACGCCAAGAACAGGAGAGACAAGAAGCGTTGACGATGGGCAGCCAAGTAGGAAAAAGGCAGGCAGCTCGAAGAATTATTCTGCTACGCTTTTAACCATATGGTTTATTTATACAACAACAAGAAGAACAACAACAGCCAAAACGACTGAGGAACAAGAACAAAAAGTGGAAGGCAGGCCACTCGCCAACATTGGTAACAACAAAGTGGCAGACAATAAAAATGCAATTCTAAAAAGCCAGCAATAACAACAGCTCGGCGAACGTTGCACATAGGAATTCTTCGTCTTCTACACTTGGCACTTGGGAAGAGGCAGAAAGGAGA